GAAGCGGATATTTCTTGGAAATGTGTATGTCAGTACATACAGTACTTTATGCTACGTAAACATTACACCTAGTGCACAAACCTGGTCTTGACCAAGAACAGAGTTAGTCAGTTGGTTTATTGTTGATACAGACAGAGTCACTTCAAGGTATGTTTTCACATGAAGGCAATAAAATGTGCATGTGAGGGGACCACCAGTTGCAGTGATAAAAAAAGTAAGGCTTAAAATAATTATCTATAACTAAACTCCCTCCATGTGTACACAAAATCAGCCATCCTACTTTAAAATACTTCAAGAAAGTTGCTTCAAAATGTGATACTATTAACCTGAACTAGCCTTGGGTGCTACATTACATCTGTTCTTTCTTCACTCCACTGGTTGTCGAAGTCATAGTCAATTAGGAGAGCCTGTTCATTAACCTTTAAGCATACGTCATCAAACCCCTGGCACCATTTGGGACCTTCACGTACATCATTCAATTCATAGAGTGCAACACTCCTTAAATTGTTGTTGTTTTTTTAATATGATTCTTCCACAATAACCACAGATCAATCTTAATTTCACACTCTAACGTGCTAGTATTATTCTGTGTTTATTTGCTTCAACCCCAACTATTTTCTGACGGCGCTCTTACTATTCTGCACCCCTTGAAAAGAGCAATGTAAATAAAGCTTTACATTTCAAGAAAATGATCACGTACATTTCTCTCTCTTCATCATCCTCATGTACTTTTTGTCTCGCCGCGTCTGGCGGCACACTTGCCACCCCTCTTGGCCATGACATCATAAGATAGATTTCCCTATTAAGAGCGTGCGGCTGGCTGGCGCTAAAGCCTACATTAGCTGTGTAAGTGGGCCACCATTTAACATTAAAAGCCTTTAATTTGCTATAAACTCGGGCACACATGCATTAATAGGTGGCGGTGCTAGGTTATTGTTCCTGGGCTGAGCGTTTTAAACAGGAGGCCATTAGCACCTCAGCGGAGGGTGAGAAGCCAGTCAGGAAAAAAAAAAAGGTATTAAAGCAACTCATATGTTCACACTGGCATGGACATAAAAACATGAAAAATACACTCTTCACAATGACAAGGAACGATAGAAAGAAGAGAAGTAATGATGAAAAAATGAGCATAAAATGAAACATATTAAAACAGAAAGATATTTGCTTAAATGCAAATGCCGCCATGACATATCAAAAGAAGATGATGTGCATCTGAGTGGACTATTTGCATCTGTTTCACCGCTGTAGTGTATGTATCTTTTTGTGTGTGTGTGTGTGTGTGTGTGTGTGTGTGTGTGTGTGTGTGTGTGTGTGTGTGTGTGTGTGTGCGCGCACGTGTGTGTCCTGTGGGGCCTGCCACAGGGAATAGGTTAATTCTTTCGTCATCTTAGACACTTCCTGGAGTGCCGAAGCAAAGTGACAGCTAATCAACATTGTCATAAATAATCAATGGCCACTTGGAGCAGACACGTGCACGTGCACAAAGTCATGCCTGGACACACAAGTCTGCTTAGATAATGGGGCCGCTGCTCCCGGTGTAATTTTCCGTTGCGCAGCTAAATTGGGAAAAGAAGGAGGTGGAGAATGGGAATGAGGTGAGAGCGAGAGGATGGGAAGTGGGAAAGGGGGAAGAAGTGGAGGGGTTCAGGACGCGGATGCCTTGTGGCAGACAATATGGAATTAGGGAAAATGAAACGTCACACACGCGCAGGACTAAGATTCTTTGTCTCTTAGACATCTACACTAGTCCTCAGGGCTCAGTGGTAGAGTGGTCGTCTCCAACCCAGAGGTCGGGAGTTTGATCCCATGCAACCGTGACCATGTCAGGATGTCTTTGAGCAAGATATTGAACCCTCAGGTGCTCCTGAAGCTGCATCATCAGGAGGTAAATGAGGAAACATTGTTCATCCATCTGTCCATCCATCCATCTATCCATCCATCCATCCATCCATCCACAAACACACGGAAAAGATGGAGAAAACAGGTGCATGGAGCGAGGGTATCACTTTAAACGCGCTATAATTAAAAAATCCCTCCCGGAAAGAGGCACAGATTAATAAAGGTTAAATGAAAATAAACAAATACATAAAAATCTACGCTAGGCTGCTGTCTGCAAGCGTAAGATCAGATTTGTGATTTCACTGCTTAGGGAACGTGTGTGTGTGTGTGTGTGTGTGTGTGTGTGTGTGTGTGTGTGTGTGTGTGTGTGTGTGTGTGTGTGTGTGTGTGTGTGTGTGTGTGTGTGTGTGTTTGCACCACCGGCACCCCAAATATTTGCACATTAAATGGCACAAACAGACATATAGAGAGTGCAGTCCTCAGAGGGAGACACGGATGGACCGATAGCTGAGCCTTTAAAGCAGGGTGACCCCGACTAAGAATGCACATAAACATGCATGCAAGTTTGAAATTTCATTAACAATGAAGCCACAAATTCAGTGTGGTTTTGCAAGTGCCGTGTTTATGTTCAGATGGGCTCATGTACCTGCGGTTTGGCAGGAGCCCAGCGTCGGTATAATTCCGGTCACGGTGGTCCCCCGTAAAAATAGTGTGACCGCCTCTGCGCAATCTATACTGGGTGACCAGTCCATTGGGCCTGATGGGCGGATCCCAGAAAAGCTCCACCACAGATGTGTTGATGATCACGTGTCTGGGCTTTGACCACACACCTGCAGTTGGAAAGAAAGCACACAAGTCATGGATTCGTTTTTGTTGATCGGATGTGGGCCGTTGGAGAGTTTTGGATGCAGCACGTGTCATTGTCAAAACAAACAAAAACACAGAGAGGATGTGATAAAAAGCTCTGAAGATTTAACCCATAATTGCACATCATGGGTTTTCTAATCTTAATCATAATTGTGTCATGTGTTGAATGCATTTTAAATAAAGCGCGTGGTAAGAAAAAAAGGAGCCAACCACTGCTGAAAATTGTCATGACCATACCTTAAATTCACTAATAAATGCTTTTAGTCTCACAATAAAAATCTTGTTTGTGCAGCCTGAGAAAACAAAGCCAGATATAATTTTTTAAAAAAGAATTGCCCCACTTGGTTTATATTAGATATTTTATACTGTGACATTTAATTATGCACAAAGTGCGGTTTATTGAACAACACGGGCAACAATTCATTCTCTTTCAATGACAGAAAAAGACAAGACATTATTCTCCGTGAGCTCAGAGAGACAATGAATAAATCACATCCACTCCTGAAGGATTTCTGCACTTTTTTAAAATGACAATTTATGATATTTTCATGTGGTAAGTCAATTTTTTCAGTTTCCAATCAAAACGGTTTTCTGATGATCAACCCACGCGTCTTGGAGAATAGGTTACTGTAAATTACACCATTTTAATTAATTTAAGTTGATGTGATTGATTTATTTGGCGGCGCCGTCAGTGCTAGGAAGACACTGGAATAAATGTGGGGAGGGGCTTGAGGGGACAAACGAGTCACAAGGCACTGAACGCGGCACGAAAAGATTAGATAGAAAAGGGTTGGCCGCTCCACTCACTCACTGGCAGCCATTTTCAGACGCTCCTTTATGCGACCTCATGGGAAAAAATATATACGGTATATAAATACGTACCTAGCACTGAATGTTTGGATTATTTAAAAAAAACACAAATATATGTGACAGGCAATATTTGTGTACCAGTGGGGGGTGCTTGCAGGGTGCGTCCTGCGGAAGGTGAACTGGTGCCACATCCCACGGCGGTGCAGACCACCAGCACAAAAGTGTAGTCTGTGAAGGGCTGCAAACCTACAGCACATAAACAGCGCGATTCATGTTCCACACTTTATGATACAAATTTTGCATACATACAATCCAACTCTTTTGCATTCTATCAACAGTTACGCTAATGAGCTATTTTTCTCCCACTGAACGGCGATGAGGGGAAAGAAAATGTCAAAATCCACATGAGGTGCAATGAGGGCAAAAGACCGTTTTCCCAACATATCTGTTCTCTCGCACTGAGTTGCCCCTCCCTCCGTTCCTGCCACTCTCAACGGATGGATCCATATCTGTCTGTGTTAAATTATGCATGCCATAACTCAATAATGAAACAACGTAAAGACGGGCAGCTGCGGCGCTGACATGGGATGGAAGCGGTCCGACGCTGTAATGTCATCAGCTTTTGATCTATGATAATTATGATACCTTGGTATGCGTTTAGGCTCCGGCGTCCTGACATGATTTATTTATGGGCCCCCCTTTGCTATGCAGTCTTAAAGAAATCACACAGCCACTTGAGTTGATCTTTAAGTGTATATGAGATTTATTTGTGGGAAAATTTCAGTACGTTTTTTTCCTTCTTTTTTTTTAGATAACACACTTGAAAACTTCTAAACTTTTAGTCGTTATTCCTTGCTCTTGGTATATAGTGGCTGATCCAAATCGTTCAATGCAAATGTTATAAGGTGTAATGCGACTTGACTGAATGTTTTATGGTCATTCGGCCTGCACACAACTGCTTGCAAATCAAATTCACGACAAACGAAAAGGCGTAATGCAGTTTCAGATCAAATGATGACTCCAATGATAGACTGTGGCACTGCCATGCGCTGTAGAAATATAAAGAGTACATATATTAGACATATGTTCATGTTAAGCAACAAATATTATTGATTGAATAAATATATACTGAAAAAGTGAATCAATTCTTTGGGGACATGCTTTAGAATGATCTTTTTAACGCACAATGTCTTATTTTTTGCTTTTTCATTTGCTAAAAAAGGCCTCTAGACTTTAAAATATCTAATAAGCTCCAGAAATAGAGTTTCATTGAGATAATTTGGTCAATAATGTAACTGATCTACTGCTGGTCCTCCCCACAGTGCATGTTTGGAATGTTTGGAGGCTGGGGGGACAGAAAAGGAGATCCTACTGTGCGACTCAGCTGCTAGTCGCACTTAGCTAGTGTGTGTGGACACATGCGACACTAAGCGCGTCTATGAACGCGCACGCTCACACACACACACACACACACACACACACACACACACACACACACACACACACACACACACACACACAAAATCACATGGATAATGCACAGCGGAGAGCTTCACCACAGTTTCCTCACGTCGCTCTCTCTCCTGCTTTGCCTGTTTAACATGCCTTGTGGGCCCTAGTGCTTAACAATCACTGATCAATGGGCATTTGTGTGTGCGTGTGTGTTCTCACTACTGGTTGCATTTGGGTTAAATAACGAAAACCTGCCAGCCGGGGTGGAATTGTAAGTCCACGTCGCACCATTTAACTGCGCAACTAAGCATGTGTGTAAGTAAGCGTGCTTGTGATGTCATGTGCTTCAAGGCTGAAGAAAGCAGCAGCCACAGAATCCCTCAATAAAAGTCAGTAAATTGAAACATCGCATTGAGTCAGGAAAATGGAGTATGCTGGACAGGGGCTTCAAAGCCGACAATTGAAATACAAATCGTATACGCAAAGTAGGCCTACTGTAAGAAAATGACAAAGCAGACACTATTATTGCAATCAAAAAACAAACAATCATGCCAGCTGCTCTGTTTTTAACTTGGTCAACTTGATGTTTGTGCTTTCTACTCAACATGAAGAATGAGGAGCTTGATCACTCATCCTAAAGAGGGCAGTGTTGGTCTGCTGGTGAACCACTAGTGTGTGTGTGTGTGTGTGTGTGTGTGTGTGTGTGTGTGTGTGTGTGTGTGTGTGTGTGTGTGTGTGTGTGTGGAATGGGTAGAGAGATGAAGATGCGCGTACATGCACTTTCATACATACATGCGTGTGCTTATATGCCTGATTATGGAAAGGGAGAGGAAGCTTCAATCATTTTAACAGTGATCACCAGCAAGTGAAAAGCAGGTGGAGGGCATTTTGATGCCAGCGGGACAAGACGAGACTTTCATTCCAAAGTGTGCTTGTGTGTGCGTGTGTGTGTGTGTGTGTGCGCGCGCGTGCGCGTGTGACAATGTGAACTTTGACAATGTGGTGCATGGCAAAGAAACTGGTGGCTCACTTTCTCTTTATCAAACTTGATCTACAGTAAATAAATGGGTGTGTGTGTGTGTGTGTGTGTGTTTTGGGGAGGGCGATGCAAGAAAGAAAAAAAAAAAAATCCAAACCGGAATTTTATTGAGAGTTTGTCAGTTCTTGTTTGCGTCCGAGAATATGATAAGATGTTGGGGCCAAGTGTCAGCGCAAGGAGACAGACGGCGCGAGGGTGAAGGCAGCAATGGCGGGAAGCGAAGGCACAAATATAACGTAAAAGCTTTTGTGTAAGTAACAGCAAGGTGAGATTTATCTACTCTATGATGAGCGAAATCACGATGTCGAGAATGAGAGAATGAGGGAAAGCGGAAAGGAGGGAGCAAGGGGGGCAGGGGGGGATGCTTTGATAACACGTCTCCTAAATAATTAAGACTTTGACTTCCTGTCTGTGGGTTCTCTGATGTGTCTCCAATGGAACGCTGGGATCAGATTCACACAGACACGCATGAAACATGTACGGACGTAGAAAAGGATAACGGACATGCATATGTAAATGATTAAAATAATAATAATAATAGGAATAATAAACATTAATAACCGGTATTTGTGTTAGTACAGAATTGTTATAAATGTTGGGGCATTGACTTTACCATTTAAGTTCATACACCTTTCAAGATCACTATTCCGACTTTTCCACCACTGTACAACTACGGTAACTTACATGCACAAATATGTGCTTGTGTTTGATTGATATCCTTCAATTAATTTTTGAAAAAAAAATGTCTGTTATTCTCTATTAAAATGTAAAAGTATTTTGGGGGGGTTGCATGGGACTTGATGTATTTGAAATGATTTACCGGGAGTTTTGTTGTTTATTTCACAACAAATATTTGTGTAGTACAATCATATTGAAATCCGTTTACAGTATCTGGTGTGACAGGTTCGTGAACAGGAGAAAGGAGAGCACACCTGTGAAACATCAGTCCCATCTTATTGTTGTTTCTTTTAGTAACCCAAAGTGGAAGTCATGGGTAGCTCACAGTTGTAATACCACATACAGTGCATCACTGACACTGATGAGAGAAAAGTTCCAGTCTTACATATCGACACAAATTAGAGCACGCACCAATCAGAGCGCACATTACAGCCAGCGATACGAGATACAAAAAAAAAAAAAAAAAAAAAAGACAGGAAGCATGAATAAATAAAAGAACATACTCTATTCCCTGCCCTTGTGAATTAATAATGAGCCTACAAAAGGCCAATTAAACACATGATTAATGCCATAATCTATATAATTGCAGGCAATCATTCATTGCAAGCTAATGATGGCAATGCTTAATATCGATTCACATGGGGTACCTTTGAACAGCCGAGCTTCATTTTGTCTATGAAGTGTCATCATTGCAAACAGCTAAAAATGCGATTAATAAAGAGCCTCTCGGTTGTTTTTCCTGAAGCAAATCATTGATCAACAGTAGGTAGAAAATGTGGCTGTGGTAAGCAACTAATATGTATATTAAAAAAAAA